GTTTGAAGTCTTTCATCACCCTGATCATTTGGTTGAACTACCATCTTAAAAATGCGTACTTAATCATCAAGAAACCAACAAATCGTTTGATTTTACCAACTACACACTCAATGTCTATGAGGGATAATTCCAATGAACTTTCTTCCAGGAGTGGGTTAAGTTTTAGTATTATTGTTAAGGGTACCTACACTAGCGTCTAGCCGTTGGCAGGTCAGGATAATCCTGACTAATCCAATCGCACTTGATTTTGTGTGTGGCGCGTCATTCAAATTATGTACAGGTTTGAATGTAACAGTTCTCATACCACGAAACGTTCTCAGATTGTTCACATAAACAAGAAGTTATGGTTAATTGTTTTGAATACACAGTTTTATTATTTTACATATTATAAATGTTATTGCGAGTTGGCAACAAGTGACAAGACAGTGACACAAAGGCTTGTCCACAGATCAGATCGGGCTTGTCACTTATTATATATTATAGATTGTAGTTGTTGTTATGTTGTTGTATAATAAAAATAATAACCACAATCAAATATAAGCAATAGACTGACGTTCAGATATACTTAGAAGTAACTGACCAATACCAGTTTAATGTCCAATGTGTGTTTTTATAAAATTGACTTTAACTTTTTCTGCCAAATCAACCACAACCTTGAGACCTGCTGGGCAAAATCCACCAATTTTTAAACTGCTTTTCATTTTTAAGTGCCTCTTTCCTTTGCTTTCAGAATTAAAGCAGCCTGACCGATGACACAGAAACTTCATTGTTTTGTGAGTCTTTGCGGAAAAGTTCTCTACTTTAACATATTTGGTTTTTGTACTATTTTCAATAGAATATTTCCACTCCTGAAAAGAGGCTAAATTGGAAAATTGGAGTGTTTCACTTTCTAAGATTAGGTTGTGTTCTTCTTGAAAGTGAGTGTGCAATTCTGCAACATAGCTTGAATGAAAATTGCACAAAGGACACTTCTTAGAATCTTTGTTGATTTTGCTATCTTCCTTGTCTACAACATTTTTGTGAGTTTTTTCATGATAACGTAAATGTTTTTTGTGGTTGAAATTGTTACCACATATTCTACATTTAAAATTGTAATTTACTACTTCCACCTGCACTAATTCTGGGTGAAACTTCTTAATATGTTTGCGTAAATTTGAGGTATTTAAGAATACTTTTTTACAGTTTTTGCACTCGCAATCCATTTTCTTTTTTCTTTCACGGGGTCTCGTAACGAAATTCAAAATTGAAATACAAATTCAGCTAAATACAGAGATATCTCTGGCTAAATAACACAAATTGATCAATGCGACTGCACAATGCTGCACAGTAGACTGATTTGTAATTGGTTAGGATCGCTATCTTGTCACTTGTTGCCAACTCACAATAAGATAATATTTATAATTTGTAAAATAATAAAACTGTGTATTCAAAACAATTAAACATAACTCCTTATTTGTGTGAACAATCTGAAAACGTTTCGTGATGTGAGAAATGAGAACTGTTACATTCAAACCTGTACATAATTTGAATGACGCGCCACACACAAAATCAAGTGCGATTGGATTGGTCAGGATTATCCTGACCTGCCAACGGCTAGACGCTAGTGGTATACTCGGTTCGCTAATGCCAGTCCGAACTGTCTAGTGATTTTAGTAATTATGTTTTTACGAAGTTAGTTACTTTTTGACAGACTAGGACTAGAAGTGGCTGGAAATTATTATACAACCAAGTACACGTGCTCATAGCGCATTTCATTCGAGTATTTCGTCGACCTCTTTTTAGTTTATATCGTTAGGTTGCGCCAAATGTAGGCAACCAACTTAAACTTTTTGTTAGCATTTAGCTGGAGTTTCTTGAGTATTTTCCAGTTAATTTATTATTTTTTAAAAAGTGATGTTAATAATGCTGAATAAGCAATATTTCAAATGATATCTAATCACAGGACGTACTTAATATTGTGTTATAAAGTAGGTTAGATACAAAATATCATAATATTCATATTATAATTCAAAAATATCATTCATCAAAAATATAATCCAATATCATCAAAAATATAATTAAAACAAATCATAATCTTCTATTATTCCTATTAGAAACTAATTTTGGACGACCCGGGATTTTACCTTTTTTATCTAACGTACTTTATTATGAGGATTTTACAATAACACAATATTAAGTAAGTTTTGTGATTCAATATCATTTGAAATATTGCTTATTCAGCATTATTATTATCACTGTAAAAAAATAATAAATTAACTGAAAAATAATAAACGTTTATTAAAAATATTCTCAAGAAACAGCTAATTCCAAAAAAAAATTTTAAGTTGGTTGCCTACATTTGGAGCAACTTAACGGATATAAACTAAATTACTGTAACTTTTATTTAATTTTTGACGCCATGTCAAACTGAACTGGATGTTAACTGAAATGTTTTTGTTATTAAGAACATATTTACATAATTTTATAAATATATTTTAATGATTCACCTACGCCGAATGGCCAAATAATTAAACAAAAATGGTTGGTGTTTTGAATAAATCTTTGTGCAGTTTGAGTACCTCGTAATTTAACAGCATACTTACTCATCTAAAAATATTAACTTTTAAAGAACATTTATCATATTTATATTTATTTAAGAAAAACTTATCAACGCATTATCTGCTAGAACAAATGGAAAACTTTGACTATCACTAATAATAAAATAGAACTAACTAACTAAATAGAACTAACAAAGAATTAAACAAAAATAATGGAACAATAAAACTATATTAGCTAAAATAAACAACGCGAATAATACAAATATTTACTACAATATGTTCAATTGTAACAACTCAAATATTATATTTTAAATATACAGGGAAAATTTTATGGGTTTAGTATACACTTGGAATAATTCTTCTTTTTTTAAGGAAGAATTCTGCAATAGTAGTATATTTGAGCTATTAATACTGAGAAGTAGGAATTTTTGTGTTGTATGTTTCCGACAATGAATCTGTCAAAATATTCCCGAGCTAAGCGAATGGAGATTACGTACCCGTTATCGTACCTAAATAATATTTAATAATTATAATAAAATAAGTATTTATAATATATTTTTTGTTTAATAAGAAGGAAAATAACATTAAAAACAAAACAAAATAGTTAAAAGTGAGCTAGATTTGGATAGTGTTGGTGATTTTTTTCACCACCCAAGTGATTTTCATTTCTTTAAATATGGGTATTGTCTATGCACCTTTGTAATTCTTGAATTGCAAAAGATGTTTAGGTTCCTCTTGGTTTCACTTTGCTCATTTTCATCCTCATTGCTCATCCTAAATTGAATTTTTTTGTAGTTGTGATAACAGTTCATAGTCTTGAGATATTTTCTAATATATCTTTGATTTTTTTATTAATAGCAGTTACAAGCTCAATCACATGCTAGTTATTTCTGCAGTATTGTCTTCAGTAAACATATATTTATAACGTGAATTCAGAAAAGTGTACAATGCAAAAGATTCACTCTTCTAAGTTTGAAATTCCTTCTAAAAGATTCTTTTATGTTTAACTGAATATTTTTTTAATATATTTGATAATTTAATGACTTGCGTAATCTAGTGATTGGTATGGTTTTGCTAGCATTTACGTACTGTTCACTACTCATTTATCTCGTCACCTCTGCACATGGCTGAGAGTTTTTTACAGGTGTTAGAGCACAAACCATACGACATAATCTCTGTATGGTTTGTGATCCCTTGTACCTACCAAGCCTACACTTTTTGTAAAGAAAACGGTATCATTGTTTTAACAATTCTCCCACAACTTCTCATCAGCTTTTAGATGTGGCCTTTATCTTTTCCTTAAAGTCGGCGAACAACAACGAGTGTACAAAATATTTGACAAGCCATCCAGGTGAAAGAATTACATCGAATGAAATAGCCGAATAGTTTAATCTTTTGCTTTCTTAAAGTAGTTCCACCCGAAAAAGTTAGAAAGGGATTTGAACAGACGGGATTGTTTCCATACAACCCTGATGTTTTTAAAGATTTTGCTTCGCCAGAAACATAAAAAGACTACTATTAATATAAATTACGACCCCATTGATAGCACAGAAGGTAAGAAAGGTATGTCTTTCACAGAAATAATTCTTATTTCCTTCTGCTCCAATGCCAATAAGCTGAAATCCCAAAGAAAGTCAACCAAACGACATTCTATAATTTTCACTTAAACACCATCGAAGGAGAAACTGGAATAAAGAGAAAAATAAAAAAAGAGCAAAAGGTGATAGTGGAAAAAAATGTTCAAGAAAAAGCATGAAAGTAGAATCATACCCAAAACCTACTGACCAGACATTAAATGAAGAGAGCAATGACAATATATATATATATATATATATATATATATATATATATATATATATATATATATATATATATATATATATATATATATTTCTATTTTACTTACTGGGGTTAAAAGGGGAGGCTGAACAATTACTGCGCTTGGAGATAGGATAAGCAAATAAATTGAAACGTTTGCGAACGGCTACTCGTGTTTTGGTTGGAGAGCAAGGTCGTGGATAAGGATTCCTTTTTTGGGGCACTGGGAGAACTAACTACGAAAAAGAAATCAAGAAATACTTACAGAGATGTCCTGGGCTACACTAAACAAGAAGATTTCTAAACTATTTAAAATTAGGATGCCGTTTAAAAAATCCTCTTGCTGCATAGAAAGAAGGGTTTAGATTTTTTTGCTATTTTCTGTTTGGTGGTCTTTGTCTATTCTAATTTCGTGACAAGGTATTTGCATTTATCAACAAGTTCTATTTTTAGTTAGAAAATTAAATGACGGAATTTTGTCTATACTGTGATTAGACTATGTAACGGCATTAATTTTTTCATTTTGTTAAAGTGGTTATCTACTTAATTATACTGATACAAGTTTGAAAGATAAATGACGTCCTGACAAAATTGAGGTTATTATTTATTATATTTATACGTCACTGTATATGTATAAGCAAGCATATCATATAATAACGTCTATTCCGTTGCAAAAATACTCACTTGCACCTGATTATTTAAATAAACATAGTTATAGTGAATATGGATAATTAATCTATAATTGAAAATGTAGAGATCTATGTTAAAGAGAATTTAAATTATTAACCTTGAAGTTTGAACCTAAAAGAATTGAAAGAATAGTGAATTTTATTTGTAAGAATAGGAAAACATAAAGTAAGTTAAAAACCTAATTTTTTAATTATTTTTAATACATTTATCTATGAGTGTTATTATATCATTTTGTTCTAGCGTAATTTTGATTGGATTAGGTGATTTGCATTAGTAAGGAATGACTAGGAAATATATTTCTTTTATTATTATCCATGTTTTAAATATTATATCTATTTTATCTACTAGATAAGGATGAATTAAATAAAACCTGTGGAACCTGATTTGGGATCTGTAAAGTATTCAAATAAACATTGAAAAATCAAGGAGTCCTTGGAGTTATAATTAACTATCAATAATAATATTTCTATAGAAATAATATTAGTATTTAAGGCTTCAACTCTAATAAAAACTAATTCGTAGACGGAGTAGAACTAATAAATAAATAAATATATACTGGAAAATTATTCGCAGTACCTAACAGTGGTTAATTGACCAGAAGATTTTGTTCACTTAAAAGGTCTCTTTACTACTTTTATATTGTAGAATATATTTTTAACATACAGAAAACAAATTGAATATATAAGTATAATATTGTTTTTTCTTTTTAGAAATGACTGCCAAAGCTGCTCAAGCGATAGTATTAACATTGGTTGGATGTATGCTAAACAATGTTTTTCTTGAATATATTATCAAGTAAGTAGAAAATTTAATATTTATTTAAAATACATTTAAACAATTTATTATTTGACATTTCTAAAACTATTGAGATTATCAGGAGTGGTATATCAATATTTATAATATTCGCTATATCTCAAAAGTTATGCAACTCATCCACAGTCTTTCCTACTTTAAGTCCAAGAATGGCTACCTTACACAATGTAAAAAATGGACAGTCAGTATAATACTGCCAGTATTTTACTTTTCAAGAAGTGCTGCAATTTAACATTTCTTTGGGAAGTTGGAGAAAAATGAACAAATATTTAGTTAGCAGCAAACTTATTGTATAATAGTGGAGGTAAAAACAATCAATAAAACTATTTATGGAAAGCTACCCATTACATGAATGATTAGCAGAAAAATTGCAAATAGATGAAGAGTATAGTATGGATGTCAGATAAAAGATGTTTACAAGTTTTCATATAAGCTTGTAGAGGGATAATATGAAGGTGATTAAACAAACCAGAAACAGAAGCACTATAAGAAGAGTAGATGTGAATTCTTTGTATTGTCACGCAACAAATGATGGACAATGTTTGAGGCACACAAAATGAACAAGGCTGTGCTGCTCAGAATTGGAAGAGATGTGGGTGTGGTTCTTTGGATCATTATTACTAAACAGCACATGAACAGAAGAAAATTAGGATATTATCGCTACTAGAGCTAAATCAGAAATATTGAATATACAATACAAACAAATATCATAAATAATTTGCCAAAAAGGGCACTACTGTGTCTTTTCTTTGAGAGACAAAGAAAACTCTTTAAAACCAAAATACATATGCAAAATAACAGTAATCAATCACACCTATAGAATTTTTCATATAAAAATCAATGCATGTATTCAAGATTTACTATGTCAGAATCACACAGTGTTGCCAAAACATCAGAATAGTTAATAAGTGAGGAATTTTTAAAATGTCAACTTTTTAAGAATACAATACAGTAGTAGTCAATTAGATTTTTAAAATGAAGAAAATAATAACATTTTCAAAATTCCTTTTTTTTCACTTTTCAATAATGTGGAAAACAAGATATATTGAATTCATAATATTATAAAAGATGACATTAAAAACATATAATACATTTGAATACTCAACTAGTGAGGCTAGTTATAAATCAATACTGTTATTGTGTAATATTGCATCTAAATTAGGGAGAATTCAGTGTGACATTAAAAATGACACAGAAGCCTGTGTGATAAAAAGGAAATAGAAAATGGTCTACAAAAGAAAGAAGGAGTCTATATAAAACTTATACAGAAGTAAAACACTTCAAATTTGTATCTTGGTATAAAATATTTTATTTAAAACTTTTTAAAAGTGTTGTCCAAAATTTACAGGTGCATAATTTAACATTTTCGATCTAGTTCAGATCATCCTCAGTGCCGTCTTTGTGTACTTGAAGCGAACAATAAAATAGTAGTAATGTCATCAATATATTTAAAAATTTAAATTCTAATGCGACCCTAGGTCAATGACATTGGATAAAGATTTTAATACTAAAAGAGCAACATGTTTCTTTGCTCAACTCGAACATGTGGTTCTTGTCAGTTAAAATGACACAGACCAATGTTTGTCTGTGTTGTTTTAACTGACATATATGTATAGCTGTATTAAATATATTTAAAAATGTCTTCATTATGAGTTGTTATTAACAATTGATTTAATATTGTATCTTTTTTAGATTAGACCCAGGAGCAGGACATTTGATAACATTATGCCAGTTCTTATTTATTGCTGTACATGGACTCATTTTTACCTCAAAGTTTGGAACAGTTAAGCCCAAAATTCCATTAAGTGGTTATATGACGTTAGTGGTATTATTCTTCACTACAAGTGTGGTGAACAACTGGGCATTTGCTTTTAATATTCCTGTGCCATTGCATATGATCTTTAGAGCAGTAAGTAATGCAAAATTTCAAAAAGTATTTCAATATATAGGGTGTTAAATATTGGAAAGATTGAATTGCACTATTTCCAAAACTATTTTTTCATCATTTTTCAAATAATTTTAACTTTAAACATAAAAGCAGTTTATATTTGAAAACTAGAACTAGTAAAACATAAAATTTCTAGTAAGACTAGTAAGACAAATCTTGGTTTTATTTTACAGGGTTCACTAATTGCAAACATGATAATGGGTATTATTGTTTTGAAGAAGAAATACACACTAGAAAAATATATATCAGTACTTTTAATTACCTTGGGTATTATCATTTGCACCATTTACTCAAGTACAGAGAAACCAAAGGTAAGTAAAAAATTTTTATGTCATTTCTGTCAGTTCATGTTTTCGCTCGTAAACACGGAATTGATAATAAACACTACATAACCTAACCTGTATATAGGATTATCTGATTTCTTTAAAACACACTTTTAACGAAAATAAATTGGTTTAAAACATGTTTTTTTTTCGGAAGCTCTTTGATGTTACCAAATCTTATTTGGTTGTATGTGATATTTTTAAAATTTCTGAAGCATATGCAAACTCTGCAAAATGAAGAGGTTCTAGATACTCTCAGCTTCCTATTTGTATTTTTCCTTACTATTTCTAACTTTTTACTATCACTAAATAACTTCAAATCGATTTTTAACTATTATCGTTAGCTAATTAGAGAGAGCGGGCCGATATACGTACTTTCTTGATGGGTATCATCCGATTACTGCAAAATGAACTAAAACCATTGAAAATGATTACTTAAAATAAAAAATTTGATACCGTTTTTACTTAATTTGGTGTTGTATACCATTTTTACTTTTTTTTTTCACAAAATATTTGTTAAAAATATTGGCTTAACTAAGCTGACCCGTATAAATAAACTATTACATGGCCTCTTCAAATTAAGATGTTATTATGGCTCTATATAAAATATCTCTAGAAAATTAAGCAACCTGAACATTTTAGGTATGTGCAGACTGCGAATTAGGTGTAGAGACTCATTCAGATGCAGTAGCAGATCATTTCTTCTGGTGGATCATTGGAATAATCTTGCTAACAGGAGCTTTACTACTATCAGCAGGAATGGGTATTTTCCAAGAGGGACTGTATCAGAAATATGACAAACATCCAGAAGAAGCGCTTTTCTACACAGTAAGTTAAATTGAAATAACATTTTTCTATTTAGAAACTTGTAATTATATTGAACCCATATGTTTTCATGCATTTCCATATATTTATTGTACCTTCTTCTTCTTCTAATGGCGCTACAACCCTTTGTGAATCTTGGATCCGCTTAACAATGTTCTTCCATTCACACACTTTATTTTATTTTCGATATAACCTATTGATTTATTGTACCTATATTGTTTTATTAATACGCATTTATCAACATCAATGTCCTATTCTTAGTTGTTTTCAAAACTTCATGTTTGTGACTTTTTTTAGTTTTTAATAATATCCGCCTCTTTTCCATTCTTTAGTCACATTGTTCTCCAGTCACATTCATTATTTGTTCATGGGTAATTCCACATCATCTATGCAGAGTTGGTTAGATGACCCCTCTCGATTTGGCTTACATTTTACAGGCGAATTCTATACTATAAGGTATGATAATTGACCAAATTTTAGTCTTCTAGGTTCAAAATAGCTAAACTTCTGAAAATAGCTGAGCTTTTTTTAACTTCTGAACCTTTAATAGTTCACCATATCATGTAATGTATATAAATTCGAAGAAGTAGAAATATTCCAGTATTTAGGAGCGACATTCACGAGAAGACCAAATATGAAGGAAGAAATCCAAGCGAGAATTATGGCCGGTATGGATGGAGCATATAAATGATGAAGTATACATGGACATAGATTCATTGGATGAAAATCAGAAGATCTAATAAAAAATTCAAAACATCAGGCAAAGCTGATGTTACAAATAATACCCTCGATTAACTATACAGAAGAAAGAATAAACGTACATTTAAATAGGTTCCGAGGAGCACTGATAAACGGAAATAAGGAAATGTCTTAGGGCCTAAGTGATGTCTCGTATAGAGCTGACACATTAGAGAAAGGGTACATACGACTTAAAGTGGAAGCGACTTATAACCGTGCAATGGAATATGCAAAAGAATATGCGAACACATACGCAAAAGTATTAAATCTTCATTACAATCATGGACACTTCATAAATATTATAAAACCCGGACAAATAGAGTCAATCATTTCGAATGCTACAAGGTTCCTTCCACAAAGAGTATATATAAGAAGGCAGCCAATTGCTGTATTGTATATTGACAATAATTGTATTTAAATTGAGAGGTAAAGGACAATTAGCTTCTCATACATTATTTTGATATTTTGTCCACACTCCAATACCGTTATTCCTCCCATTTTACCACAGGACCAATATGGGTTATCGGTGATACATATGCTGTGTTTGTACTGCTGGAATAAATTCATTAAAAAAAGTTACATATAAAAAATCCCGTAAAAATAGAAAATAAAACAAAAAAAAAATAAGCAAAAAATTAATAATAATCTAAATATTAGTGAAGTCAGGTGAACGTAGACCAGTTCTTATTATCTTCTCGAGGTACCTCAGTTTAAAAAAAAACGAAACTCTAGTTCCATTCTAAAAAACGCAGTTCGGCATTCACCTCACTCCCTCCCATCGAGCAAAAAGACAAAAGAGGGAATGTAAAGGTAGTGGGGGCAAAAATATTGTTAGACAGGAAGTGCGATCTTTAGAGGCCACATTAAAGAAGGAAAGAGAGTCTCTCTCATTGTTTGACATCAAATTTAGTTGGGTTATGTTATTGTTTGTCCCAAATGTCACATGAAATCTTATTTATATTAAAGTTTTTTAACAATTGTGTCGCATTTTAGACTATTAGCGTTAATAATTAATTAAAACTTTCTCGTCTAAGACACATTCTGAAAAATATTATATAGCTACCGTTAATAAGTGTCGGAAAATTTAAATTTGGTGCATTCGCATTTCCGGATATGTCCGCCATCAGAGGCCACTTTTTTGGTCTCCTTTTCATAAGGATTGGATTCCCTCTTTTGTCTTTTTGCTCGATGCTCCCTCCCCACCCGACTTTAAAGTGGAGGTATTTTATGAGTACGATCACTTTAACGGGTTATTACTTTTTACACTTTCTCTGTATCTGCCATCTATAATTGGATTATAATACGGGAAAACAATTTTTCTTGGGCTAAAAAGGTTGAAATTTGGTAAATCATATTTTATAGTATAGAATAATGTCTGTAAAATTTAAGTTAAATCGAGAAGAGTCGCCTGGCCAACTTTTCATAGTTGACTCATGTTTTTTAGACAAAAAGGTATTTTGTAATATGTGTAAAAAAGAGTATAATACCCTTATATTTTTTAACTTATATTTTCGCCAATGTTTTTTAAATCGACTTATTTTTTTTTAGCATTTGTATCCTCTGCCTGGATTCCTCATTTATTCGTCAAGCCTGATAGAACACATCGACATAGCAAATAAAAGTGACCTGATAAATATTCCTGTAGTGAATTTTGCAGTACCAGTACTATGGGCATTGCTATTTTTAAATGTAGTCACTCAATTTGTCTGTATCAGCAATGTGTATGTCCTAACCTCAGAATGCGCCTCCCTGACTGTAACATTAGTAATTACTCTAAGAAAATTCTTTTCTTTAGTGTTTTCAATTATATACTTCCAAAATCCCTTTACCATAGTTCACTGGATTGGTACTATTATGGTATTTACGGGTACTTTGATGTTTTCGGAAACGCACCATAAAATTAAGAACTTGTTGGTTTCTCCTGACCAAGACAAAATAAAAAAGAAGAATTAAAATTGGCATTGTAAGAAAATTAAATTAAATTTATTGTTTTTTTTTTATTTCGTATAATACAACTTAGAGAAATGAGGTCTCAGAAATGTTCCTCCTCCCATCAAATTTCCTACTTCCCTTTTGTACTTATCATTAGAATATTTTTTAAAATCTTTATTGTTGAAACTGTCTTAACCCTGGATTGCTACACTTATTTTCTGAATTCAATCTACCAAATGGGGTACAATGGTACTGCAAATAAAATTGACTTAAAAATATTTATATACGTTTATTTTAGAGCATATGACAAAAACAATTTTATCAATTAAGATAACATGCTAAGAGTTTATTTTGTATATAAAAATATTTTATTATATTATTATCCACAAGTTGGACACATTTTTTTTTGGTGCTGCAAACAAATGATTGTTTTGTATATAGCACAGCTAACTCTTTTGATTTTTGATGTTCACTTCTGGGACAAAGTGTGCATCTACCTGTGGTAGCAACCGGTCTTGTTGGTACTTCTACTGGATTAGGTATTTTTAATATATTGCAACTAATTTCGCGAAGTTCACGCCTCAAAGTCGAACATTCCAAATGACTTTCCATTTAAGGTACCACTAAATCAAGTGCCAGTTTTCTAGGTGAGCTCTTCTGTTCGCAACAACTTACTTTTCCGGCGCATTAGAACCACTTAAAAGTATCATCGAGTTATATCCTACAATATTTAGCGGGTTATAAAATAGGCATAATGGCCAACGACGCCATTCTTTCTATACTACGTTCCACGTTTAGAAAATAACATTGCGGAGATAGGGCTATGTATTTCTTATGGATGATAGCAACGTGGCGTTGCCACGACACACACAAGCACAATTTAGGGTTGTATAATTTGTATTTTCATTTCCACAAACATGAATTAAATTAATGTTTTTTAACGTAATTGACCAAAAGTGCCCATTCGAAACAATAGATGAAAAGTAGGGAAAATGATTTTAATTAGATAAATAGTATTTACAAAAGATAATTTTATTTTATCTTATTTTAATTATAGTAACGACAGTTTATTTGTTTTTCGATGAGAATACGATATGCCATGAATCATAGAAATCAGTAGAAAATATTGAACGCTTGGAATGCGTATATCTAATTACTAATTGCAACTTAAAATAATACGATGTGCGTATGTCAGCTATTTTATGTCGTTCTCTGACTACATAATGATAATAAGGCTTTTATTTAGTAGTTATTCTGACTTTACAGTTAAATGTTAATTAAAAATGAAAATTCAAAAATTAAGCAAAGGGAATATCTTGGACATCCGTGCAAAAGAGAGTGTCTGAGAGTTCTGGCAACACTGATCTCCATAAGCGTAATGTTATTTTCTTAACTTGAAACAAAAAATACTTGTATGAATATGTGTGACATAGTTGATCAATGGTATTTGATTCGTCACCTTTTTATCCATTGTTGAATGCATTATAACAACTTTTTTTTAGTTTTTGGACAATATGATAAGAATGTAAGTTGTTCACTGTAGCAAAACATGGCAGAATTTATTTGCCTATCCTTCAGCTCCAAAAACAATTGAGGAATTTCTTTTTTGTTTCATCTCGTGGTACCATAACAATGGTAATCTTCTTATCTCAAAGGAATTTCGCCGTGTCTATAGATGTGAACCAGTTGTCCATTGTCAAATTCCTGTTGGTTCATTGAAACTTGTCGCAATAATACTGGGCTACAGGAATTACACGTGTGGAGCCCTTGCGTACATAAACCTCAGCCTCAAATACAAAAGCTCTTTTATCATCATAGCACATCACAAGTTTAATATATTTGTCGGGTTTGGAAGATATGTACATTTTTGATGGACATCGGCCGTGTAAATCAACCAACTGTTTAACAATTGTAGTGTACTCTGAAGGCACATCTTCTTCTTAGCCTTCTGTCATCAACCCATCTCATCTTTGGTCTTCCTCTTGGTCGTTTACTTTCGTAAGGTCTCCAATGTTGTATTGTAGTATTTCAACGTTGCTCTTTCTGTCTAGCAGTGTGGCCCGCGAAGCTGCCTTGACTAGTTTCTATTGCCAGATAAATGTAGAACTAGATTTTTTTAGGTGTACGACGAACTGATGTTCCTTTTGTACTGGATCATTTGAATTGGTCATTTTAAGATGGGAACTTTCAAAAAAAAATTTCGACCTTTTTTTGGTTTGCAAGCTGTATGTGCCAATGGCATATCATTTTCCGAATCATCCTCCGATTCTTTAGAGACCAATTGTAGAGTATCTTGCGACTGGCGTAGAAGTGGTGTAGAAGCACACAATTGAGTAGAAAGTGGTGTAGAAACTGAAACCCTTTGATTGTCGTCACATTTAGATATCTTTTCCTGCTCTTAGTTAACCCCAAAATCTGGTATAATAGTATCTACCTATTCAGTCTCGTCTTGAGAACCTTCGGAATCAGAATCATAATTATGTATTTTATCAGCAATGTCATCGGAATTTATCAGGTCAAAAACACTTTTTGTTACCCATTTCTTGCGTGTTCTAAAAAAAAGCTGTATTGAGAATAACATGGTGTACGATTTATAACATTGGCGTGGATTATATTGATAATAATTTCAATAATTTAGCAAAAAATTAAGCTTACATGTCAGAACAAAAAAAAATGTTTTATTCTGCTACACTGAGGCACACGTATACTCCTGACCTTAGATATCTCAACGATTAAAACTAAAGCTTGCCGCTCACTTATGCACTGCAACGCGAAGCGAAGCGCGGAGAAAAAGGTTGTTATGAATTTTCTTCATGTAGTTAAATATACTCGCGCGTATCTGTGCGAAGCAACGCGCTGCACAGCGAACAGAAGGGACACGGATCGCAACCGTAAAATCCTAGGCGAAGAAATTGTGTTCGGTGCGCTTCGCGTTGCACTGCATAAGTGAGCGACAAGCTTTAAGGATTCCCCACACCGACGCGAAACTTTTGCGACGCGAAACCGTTGCGGAACATTCGCAGGCGGAGCACTATTAAATTCATTATATATAATATATAATGAAAACTTACCATTTTCTCCTAGAAATGACCCTATATTATCCCAGACTTTATCATTTTTTCTTATATTTTTATAATCTTCGTCACTTAAATCATAAATTATAGGATATTGTTTCACAATTTCAATTAGTTTTTCTATAACAGCCATTTTAATAATTCACGCGAAACTATAACTTGCTATAACTGCAGCGGAAAAAACCGTGCATGCAGCGTTTCATGAAACGTCAACGCTGTTCTGCCGCGACCGTTCCGGTTTCCGTCCGAACTTGTCTGAACACATGCATTAAGTCGCCGTGCCTTACGATTCGCCGCGATTCCGCTGCGAAAGTTTCGCGTCGGTTTGGGGAATCCTTTAAACTGCTGCCACGAAGGATGAAACTATCGAGGCGCACATGACCGCATCTCCCACCAGGTAGCATTCCAGGTTTAATTTTTTTTTTAATATTTTGTTGTTAATTTGCAGTTTTTGTTTCTGCATATTTTATTAATTTTTTATCTTTATTCATGAAGTTTTCTTTATTTTACCTTGGTTTAATCAGTATTTGTATTCTTTATAGAACCAATTTTAGTCTTTATAGTGTCTACTCATGATTTTATTCAATTTTTGACCGTTTTTATAGTTTGTTAGTACTTTTTAGTGATGTTATTGCTGTTCACTTTCGCCTATTTAGCACTATTATTTCTAATAATATTCATATTCATTATATTATTTTTCCTAAACTGGAAAAGCCATCAAATGTGTTTAAAGTACTTTCTTTCAATTACTAGTAACCTTATAAACTTTTTGAACTGTAAAATTAAGGCTCATGCAATAATTTTTAAGTTGTATAACACAATTTTATTATTGTTTTATAATATACAATCTATTCCCTCCTGTAAACAAAGCAACTTGATAATCAAACCGAAAAAGGTTCCGTTCTGCACTAAAAGTAGTGTATTTGTTGTTATAAAATATAACTTAGTATTGTATAAAAAATAAGTTAATATATTGTTGTTTTCTACTGTTCCTGTATTTGTTATTTAAAATATGTTAAATAAATTTGTTTTACAAAAAATATTTGTTGCATTTTATATATCCCAAAAAATATCCAAAGTTCAAGTGGAAATTATCGAACTTAGTAGTGAAGTTCGTTTCGGTTCGTAAATGCCCCTTTGTCCGCTTCTCGTCGATCGATGGTGATAGGTTAATAAATGTTGAAGTTGTGGAGTAAAAGTGATGATTTATTGACAGCAACTCGTAATTACACAATATGGTGTTCGTTCGGTAACTACTCAATATTGACTGTGTTCATTTGAACTCAAATCCCCCAATTTATAATCTCACACATAATAGATACATAAGCACCTTAGGTCATTGCTTCGTTCATATCACACCACCTAACTTTTGCTACGTTACGTTACCATACAATTTAATCTACGCCTTAATTGCGACACTTAGGAAGTTCAATTAGAAAATATTATTATTCGGCAATTTATTTAGTTGTAGGTAAATGAACTAATTATTAAATTATCATACGATATGGTTTTGGAATATATATAATGCAAACTTATACACGGTGAAACTATAAAAGATTAAGAAGTTAAGAATAATGTGAGATTACAAATTAAGGGGTTAATTTGTGATTGAACAAATTCATCAAGCTAGCCTAGCCATAGTTGGATTACGTCATATTGATAGCAAATTTTAGATGATTAAGACTACACGGGTAGAGTTGTGAGGAGAGTAGAGTAAAAAAATTGGCTTGATACCGTTCACACGAGGAGAGTTGCAAGTATAGTACTGATGCTAGTATATTGTGGAGTAGGTATTTGTTTAGTGCAAAATGAATTCAAGAAAAAGAAAATTGATTCAAAGTTGTTTAGCTACAGTTGCAAATGCATTTGTAACTGAAGTCGCTGAAGCTATCGATGATGAGGTAAACAAACAAAGAAAGGAGTGGATGAGAGAGTGGCTTAAAAGAAGGAATACACACGGAGCTCAGCTCTTTTGCTAAGAGAATTAGCCTTAGAGAATGAGTTGGAATATAAGATGTGTCTAAGGATGACCCCAGGGAAATTCGAAGAACTTCTGAATATTGTGCATGAAAAATCGAATGACAAGACACGTTTATGAGTGATTCAATAAAATCAATAGTGAAGCTTGAGATTATGTTGAATATTTTAGCTATAGGGAACAAAGACCTGCAATTTCAAAGTTAGGTGTGTGATGCCATCTACGCAACTTGCTCTTTTATTTCTGTAGTGTACACTACCTAAATTCCATACACACTGGTATTCGCCATACATTTCTACAAGTTTTAAAGTTTCATCTTCGGTGAACTAAGTTTCACTATTTATACAAAACACAACTCCAGCCGAAATGACAGCACCCCTATACCTAGTCTACTACTAGAATTGACCGCGTTTAATGGGAAGAGTGCGCAGACGAGTGGACATTTTGGCGGTGGTGGTGGTAGTAGAGTTACTTTGCCACATATTGCTAGTCACTCTACTCTACCACATACTATGAACTCTACTGCGCTGATCGATTTTACGGGATTAGAATTACTCTACCAAGTACTTGCATCATTACTCTACCCGTGTAAACGGGTCTTTATATATATTTGTCAAAGAAGACTGGGGCGTTTACCAATGAACATAAAATCTATAAAAATCCGATGAGAAGTAAATAAACTTGTAAAGGAAAGAATTTGTCGTTGCTGGAACTAAAACCGCTGTGATATTGCAAGAATTCAATGTGCTGAATTGAAGACAAGCTAATTAACACTGCAATTCTTTAGCGTTTGTTGCCTGTGCTGTGGTGTACAATACCGAAAGATAGACAAACAGCTTGGTATTGTTGTATGGTATGACTGCCAATGTCCACTTCTCTGCCCGTCGTGATTCTTCTCGGGACTGATCCTGGTCGTCGTTCGTGAGATCCAGTCTCTACGAATCGTTTGTACATTTTTATGACCATACAACGACTGACTTCAAGCTGTCTGACCACTTATCTTTGACTCATTCCATTACCAATCAAAGTAACAATTTGAACAGATCTAGCAAATTTCTCAGCCATAGTTTTTAATTTAAAAATTGCACAAATTGACTCTTCGAACAACTGTACACTAGTGAAAGGTTTTTGAAAAACAGAATAGCCATATTCTAAGAAAAATAAGGTACAAACAACGCGTGCATTATCTGAAGTCGTAAACTGATATCAATTCTGCAAACTTATTACCTTTAATTGACCTGTCGGTGCTTAAAGGCACAGAATAATAAACAATCAGAATGCCCACTCTCAGATGCCACCTTTGAAGTTTTTCAGCACGCGAGCCATGTTTTAGAAGGAAACACATAACACAGACACAAGGTTAGTAAAAGGGAGGTTGCATGGTATCTCATGACATTGACAGAATGAAATACGACGTGTGACGTCACCCAGGGGGTCAATTATACGAATTGTTTGAAAACAAAATAGGAGAAGTGGTTTGGAGAATATATTTTGTTGTTAAATATCGTTAGTGCTTTAGTTTATGTTAATATCTTGAGATATAATATGTCTATAGATATTATTGAATGATTTTTAGTATACAACTTGGACCCAATACTCTTATACAAGTGTTAACATTTAACGTGGTTGTGTCTTACTGGATTTTATTTCTGCTGTATTATATAGTAAAGGTAACATTGGGATTAATGCAGGAAAAACATAACTTCATTCAATTTTTTTATTGATTCAGATGACTGGTGGAAATATTTGTAGTGTAGCAATTTGCAAATATAATTTAAAAAATTCCAAAAAGGATGTAATGAATTTAATGTTTTTTACATTTCCAAAAAAATGTAAAAATTCAAAAGCAATGGATGAGCAAGCGTCATAGGAAGGATAGGTGGTCCTGTTTTAATAAAAGAGTTTGTAGTATGCACTTTCGCATGGAAGATTATGAGGATGCTTTAAAAGCTGAACTATTAAACATACAACCTAAAAAGCTGAAAAAAGATGGTAAGTAGGTATAGTCATTTAAATGTTCAGTAAAAATGTGTTAATTCACTGATTTTGATTTTTATTATTTACTGTTAATTATGTACAACTTAAAAGGTATCTATTTAATGGAATCATGTTTTAATATTTTTTATATTTTAATATATAATCCAGTAATGTAATCAGATGTTCCTTAAATATATTGAAGTTAAGGGAAAAACTACTAATTCTGATATATAAATCTTTAGTTCAATCTCTTTTTCAGCATGGTTTACTTATTTGGAGGAATTTATAAAAATCCACTACATGCATTATCCTCAATTCAAAATAATTTTAAAAAAGTAAATTGTATTCAACCCACTATTAATATAGTATATTAACATGTTCTAGTCACATGTATACACAAGAAAGAATCTACTTCTAACTTAATATAGTAATTCTATTCTACTACATGTTTACCCTGCAATAATATTTATGATTTCTGTAACTCTGCAGGTACTTATCTCCCACATTTTTTAAAGATTGAATGAAATAAATAGTTATTAAAAGTCCAAACGTATTTTTTTTCGATATACATAGATTAATATATTTACAATCATTGTTGCTTTTCGAGTTCATTTCAAGGAGTAAAGTGAATGAATTTGAATGTAGCATTCTGTGACGTCATTACCGCCGTTAGATTCTCGACGCTGATTGGTGTAAAGTTACCAGACAACCTGTCTATTTTTAATAACCTTGACACAGACATATGATTTGTGAGGTTATGTAATTGTTTATATTTATGTTTAATTATATTATATTTAACAATATTAATATAATTGTATAGTACGTCTATGATTGCCGTAAGTCAATTAAACCGGTTAATTTTTCTATGCATACCACATAGCAACACTGGTTCCCCTTAAAACATGGCGGAACGTCTGCGCGAACGAGACGTGCGTACTTAATTTTCCTTGGAGAGAGGGCATTCTGATTGTTTATTCTGTGCTAAAAGTGTTTCTGCATTGTGGGAATTTAGTTACAATAGAATAAATGGTATAAACTTGAAGTTACTGAAAAATTCTTACAAAATTCTAGGTGGCCTAGTGCAGAAGTTGATACATCACTTATAATCACAACCTGGCAACAGTGGTGTCGTTAAAACTCAATAATGATTTCCCAGAAATTAGTATCTACATTTTCGTGTTTTTTTTATAGTAATTAAAGTAAAAAAAATGATACGTTTCATTAGAGACGTTTATTCAAATTGATATAAAACATTCATATATAACAACATTGATTTTTTTGTTGAATCTCTTAAGTAGTAAATATAAACAATATCAAAATGTTTTGTTTTAGGTCGAAAATAAGTTATACAGTTCCATTTAACATCTTCGGTTATAATCACAATATATAAAATCAGAATAAAATTTAAAGATATCACAAATCAAGTATATAAATAAATAAGTATTCAAGTACATTAAGGAGTATTTACATACATATATTAAAGACATGGTTTTCTTTTGTTACGGCGAAGTATGGAGTATATAAAAAATGTTTATTACAAAAGTCGAAAAAACGAACCAAACTTGTTTTTTGTTTAAATGCTACACCCTATAGATTAAAGCATTTTGAATATATTTTTTAAAAAATATTAATTATTTGTATAAGGTATATTGAGAAAAATGGTAATATGTAAAGGGCCGTGGATTAGGTTTCCAAGGTAATAAAAATGTACATGACACTTTAAAGTTTTTTCTAGTGTAGTGTCATTTTACAATAATTTAATATATTTGACATCTAGCAATAAAATATAAGGTAAGTGTACCAACAATGGGTACCTTAAGCAAAAAAACTTGATTTTCTCACCTCTAGGTAATGTTGAGGTTATGATTTTTTTATTTATTATGTTATCTTTACTTAAAAATACTATGTGATTGTAGTGGTAAAATATTTTCTGATATATTTTAGAAAAGAAATTATAAATGTTGCTCTCATTGCTCCAATAATGGACACACCCAATTTTTCATCCTACCCTATGTTGGGCACCTATAAAATGTAATTTAAGGTGGAAAATATTTTGAAAATAAATGGCCCTAAAGCCATGGAAAAGGAAATGTGAGGGAATGGGAGTACTCATAACGAACGACTATCTGTATACCCTCAGTTTCGCAGACGATCAGGTCATAATAGCACAAGACGAGGAAGATTTAAGTTATATGGTTCGAAAACTAGAAGAAGAATATAATATAAATGGCCTGGAAATAAATATTAACAAAACAGAATATCTGAATACAACACAAGAAACCTGGAAGTGGATGACGGGCGTGAAATAAAGGGGGCCGATAAATTTAAATACCTGGGGCTCATTATATCAAATAAAGGTACTACAGAAGAAGAAATTAAAAATCGAGTTGGTCAAAACAGAAACTCTATAAGACAACTGAATTCAATCCTATGGGACAGACACAAAACAAAAAAAGAATTTATAACACGATGATTCGCAGTATTCTAACATATGGAACAGAAAATTGGGTCTTGAATAGAAGCAGCAGAAACAAAATAAACGCCACAGAAATGGACTACTGGAGAAGCTGCAGAGTTTCCAAAATGGACAAAATAACTAACGACGAAATCAAAAGACGAATGGAGATAAAGAAAGACACCCAAAATTACATTGAAGAAAAAAGATTAACGTGCTACGGACATGTCAGACGAACAGACCCAAACCGATGGATAGCAAAAATAACAGAGTGGAGCCCCCCATAGGAAAATGCAAAAGAGGCAAACCAAGAAGATCTTTCAGAGATTAGATGAACATTTTTTTTCAAATTTGAGGAATTGGATTCCATGGTACTAGACCGCATGCCTTAAATGTCGACCTTCATGTGCCATGTGCCACACAGCCCTGTAAATATTAGCATTTTTCTCAATAAAAATGTAAGTACAGTAAAACCTCCGTTAACCGAAATAATTGGGGGGGGGGGGGTTAACCGAAATATAACATTGTTTTTTATATTATTCTTGGTTAAAGTATTGGTATTAAAAAATACTATGAGGTGATTTCGTAATGTTTTCTAATAAGTAAATACAGAATAAAGTAATAAAGTCGTGTACCTAACTAATTAGGCCTACTGTGTAAAATTCTTATCCTTAAATCATTGAAAATCTCGTCGGCGGTCTCATGCTGCCTGTTGTCTGTTGGGTCGTCAGCTTCTTCTTCAGGATCGTCAAATCGGAACAAAATCCTATCAAAATGTTAGTTCCAGCATTTTTCCAAAGTTGAAGATTTGATCTTGGCCCAAAACTCAGCACACCGATAAACAACATGTTTCATTGTTAAACATTTGAGGATTTCGGGAACACTTTTGGACTCATTCGTCTCCTGTAATGTCTCTGTAACAGATGTCTTAAGAATGCTCCTCTATAATGTCTCTCGAATGTCTCTATTACTCCCTGATCTAACAGCTAAATTAAGCTCGTGACATTCGGTGGCAAAAATCTGACAATTATCACTATTGTGTAGATTTTGAGGGTGAGTTGGCGCATTGTCAACAAGCAACAATGCTTTGATAGGAAGGTTTTTTATTTTAAAAAGGATTTTACACTTCATTTCCAAATAATTCATTTTCGAATAATTCTGAAAATAAAGTAGTCGATATCCATGAGCTTTTTTGGCTTCTATAAAAAGTGCTCTTTCTCAAATATCTTGGTTTTTTTAATTTCCCAACACACATAGGCATCAATCGGTGAGTGAAATTAATGGAATTGTTTACGTTTTGAGATTTGACTAAATTATTGAAACTGTCAGCCGTTTCGGTTAAGGGAGATTTTACTGTATTACGAAAATGATTAACTTTAGATCTATAAAACCTTATACAAATACTTATGCTTTAATATACAGGGTGTTGCATTAAAAAAAACAACGTTGGCTCATTCCGTTGTTCACACATCATTTTTATTCCATAATTTAGCTGTAACAATAGAAAACCAGAGGTTTGGCGCACCCTGTATATATAAATAAATATAAATAAAATAGAGAGATCACACATATATGTAAAAAAATTGGTACTTGAAGAGATACCAGTTTAGTCTTTAGATTAGAACGTTATTTGTATAACACACTTTCCTAAAAAAGAGACTCTACTACAGAAATGGTTGGTTCAGGTCAATGTTAACATACAGGGGGGACCGTTATTATATTACCCAATTACAATAAAACACAATATAATACGAAAATTTACAATAAAGCAGTTGGAGAAGATATGTCAGTCCTTTTCTTCTATTTTTTTGTCACCTTTAGAGATTTTAAAGTTAATTTCTACGTTTAAGTGAATTGCACATGCAATTTTTTCTGAAATATAGACGCAAAGGGCAAAATTGTTGTTACGTAAGTGTATATCAAAACTAAGTATATGTGACAAAGAGCTGTATTAACATGAAGAAATATCAAAGTGATGTCAATAAATTTGTTGTATTCATTATATTATATAAAAGTTACAGGTATTTATCCACAAATACTTTCCCACTCACCCCCACCCTTTATTTAAAAAAATAAAAAAAAAGTACTTGAACAACTTTGTGCGGAATTTAGGCCTCTTTCTAGTTTACTTATTTAACACTATATAATTGGTCATATTTCACAAACACATTTTTCTTCACAGGTTACGACCCCTGGCGGTTAACCCAAAAACTTCCAGCTTATTCAAGTTATTTCCAGCGATTTCTCTTGGCCACTTTTACTAAGGAATTTTTTCTCCTAATGTTATAACATGAATAGTTTCTGATATATAACCGAGAGATCGGCTTATTGGACCACCCGGTACATAACTTACATTCCACAAATATTTAGGTGATCTAAAATTTGTGCAAAGTGCGCTAAGAACACTTGACTGGCTCTTCGCAGGCAAAAGTTGTATTTTGAAGGTTCAACCCATGATTCAGTGTAATATTGACCGCAGTAATAGCGACATCACTTTAGCCCATTAGACGCAAAGAAAAAGAAAAAATAGCTTTCTGGTGATGCGCCTAGCTCAAAACACAAATTTGCACTTTTCACAGGTGACACCAATACATAAAAATGTTTCTTCTTAATAATGCAACTCTATCTAAATAGTACATGATGACTCAAATAAACAACAATTTAAGCCCTTAGTTAAATTAATTAATAAAAACACTGGAGAGCAAAGAACTTCAAACAATTTGAAAGTATAAATTATAAAATTACATAATTGATTGATAATCAATAAAATAAAAGTTACATATGACAGAATAAAGTATTAGTACTAAATTTGTACAAAAACAAAGCATTAGGCACATGTTTTGTTCACCAGTGTATGTATGAAAAATGAAAGATCTACGTAAGTTTGTTTTTACATCATGATCTTAAGTACACTCTACACATGAATATTCGAATATTTACCACTTTCAGCTAATTTCAACTGTGCACTTAATTCTATGCACAATTCTTTTTGCTCGATGATTTTCCGAACAAGATTGATCTTCTTTATTTGTAAAATTTTGTTTTCGTTTTGCAGAAGTACCATTATTTGATCTAAGCTATCTTGTTTTGGTATAACTATTTTAGAAGCATTGCCTTTATTTGCACCAGCGTCCAGTTTTGCTTTTGAAGATTCAATTTCATTTTTTTCTTGTTGTATGTCTTTCATCAATTGTTCCTTTAACTGAATGAGACCATTTCGCTTATATGTAAGCAATACAATATCATCATCAAACAAAAAATCATTTTTTTCAATACTTGTATCTTCCCCTCCAGTCTCACTTTCTTCTGGTTGTTTTTGCTCAGTTTTAGATAACTCCACACTTACTTCTGATTCAACCAGGGATAAGGCAGCTTGCGATTTTATTGAAGAAGTATCTGAGTGAGCTACTGTAGATTCAGTCTGGTCATTTACAGGCAACACATCCAGTTCCTTCTCAGTTTTTTTATCTTCCAAACCATTATCTTCATCACATTTTTCTGTGCTTTTTATTCTCCTCACTGTCTTCATCTTTCTCTGTAACAATACAAATTATTTAAAATCGTATTTATATATACCAAAAAGAGAAATCATATGATTTCTACCTGGCGAAATCGAATTCAAATTTTTACCACTGTGCTTTTTAAAACTTGCAAAGCAAACAGCTTGATAAACTACTCAGCAAGGGAATCTAAAATTGCATTCCACATGCCGTTCCATGGTTAAAATTCGTAGTGTATTCAATTTCTGGTACTCCAAACGGAGTAAAGAAATAACACATAATGACAGTACTAGATTTTTGTTTCAATACAGAGAAGCGACAAGCTGCTTATATGTATGTCGACCTCTTTAACTTAGTTAAATAGTTAAATTTTATTTTAGAAACAAGATTCCTACTGTGGACAAAGTTTAATGAGGATAATGATCTGCCTAATTTTAAAAGAACAATATTTCATAAACTTCTTAAGACATTTTTAAGTATCAAAAACGAGAAAGGCAGAGCATGTTGTCAGAAAAACAAGAGATTGTTTTGTGGAGGAGGGAATATACAGATTGAACCAAATTAAAACGAAACATACAATTTAATACATGTCTGTTTGAACTGCATTTGAAATAGTGGACCAATATAAAACTTGGACAAAAATAAATCCATACCTGGGTATAGACATTGTATAAAATATCGTTCAACTATCTGTCTCGCAACAAAGTTGTTTGCGTAAGACGGGTTTGTCTAAGGAAGCGATAATAGTTCAGGAAATGAAGCTCGAAAAAAGTTAAAACCTCGCAATTTTTTCGTCCTGCATGTATCCAGTTGAAATTTTAACAGAAGGTAGGTGATAGAACAAGGATCAAAATCTATATCGAACCGAAGTGCGCTGAAGGGTTTTAGGGGTAAAAAACTACCCCTAATTTTCAAAAATTATAAAATAACATATTAAACCTGAATATGGGTAAGATTTGGTTTGAATTAGTTAAATAATGATTATTTTATACTTTTGAATAGGGTTCCATCATATTTCAACCCTTAAAAAGCAACCCTTGTTAGAGATTAATGTAAAAAAATTACTAATCAAAAAAAAATGATTTCGCCTTGGATCGATTTGGATTTAAGCTCAATTCTCCCGCTGCTTTATAGTTTATGTCATGTTGACGAACCCTGATTGTTCTTAGGGGTGAAAACTACCCCTAATTGTCAAAAATTATAAAATAACCTATTAAACCTGAATATGGGTAAAATTTGGTTTGAATTAATTAAATAATGATAGTTTCGTGCTTTCGAATAAAGTTCCATCATATTTCAACCCTTAAAAAGCGACCCTTATTAGAGATTAATATAAAAAAATTAGTAATGCGAAGAAAATGATTTCCCCTTGGAACGATTTGCATAAAAATTTGGAATTAGGCTCAACTCACCCTCTGCTTTATAGTTTATGTCATGCCGATGAACCCTGATTGTTCTTAGGGGTGAAAACTACCCCTAATTTTCAAAAATTGTAAAATAATATTACAAATCTTAAGATGAGTGAAATTTGGTTTGGATTAGTTAAATAGTGATTTTTTTATACTTTAAAATACAAATTCATACATTTTCAACCCTTAAAAATCAATTGTTATGAGTGCTATACGCGAAAACAATTTTTTGCCAAAATTTTGCAACTTTTCAAATTTTGAAAATCACCCTTTACAACATTGCAGTTTTTATAAACTAATTTGTAAGATATAAATTGAAAAAAGTAGAATTAAATACAAAAAAATTTATCAACATAAAAAGGCACAATATATTCTTATAGATTTACATAAATAGTTGAAAATATTTACATTTATAGGTAAAACAATTATAATATTAATTTTATTCGTCATCAATTACATCTTCATCGTGATCTATGTCATCCTCATCTTCTTCAATTATTGGTGGACTGTTATTGCACCCTTCACCTGAGCACCCAGAACAAGTAGAGTTACAGTATAAACCAACTTTTCTGCACCCACATGAAACGCCGCATCCTTTTTTGCATTGGCAAAAAATAATTTTCAAAAGTTCATCGGGTGCAGGTTGTTTGTTCATGCGTACGGGTAATAACAAACCATCTTTGGAATACCATCCCCAATCTGTTGCTCTGATATTTTCATTGCCAAGCCATAGACATATGAGCAGATGTTTTATTCTGTTGTATGGGATTTCAAAATAAGAACGCTTAAAATTTCGAATGTATAACGCCCCACTAGCTAATATACCGGTTTTGTACATTATTATGCTCCGAAATGTACTGTACTATACTAATGGAATTTTCTGGGAAAAAAATAACTGGTTTTTTTAACGTATTTCCTTTAATTTTTAACGATAGAGTGTTTCTTCAAAAACGATTTGTAGAGGTTTTTAATAGCTACAAGGATCTGTGAATTAAATCTTTTTGGAACCCTTGGTTTTTAAATGGGGTGAGTTTAAATGGCTCGAAAAAGATGGTGATTGATCGTAAATCGATGCTTTAAACGGCTATATCTCGCCAAATATTCATTGTACAACAAATCTAAATAAAGGATAATTTTAGTCATTAAAAAAGCTACAATTTGCTAATTTTTATTTTCTTCATATATTCAGTATTTTCGGGCATATTTAAAAAAAGAAGGGTAAAAAATATGAAATTGTAAATCGTTTCTCGCTTTAAGCTGTACTTTTTCTAAAACTAAGCATTTTAAATGGGTCAAACTTCTTGGACGTATTCACAATACATGTACAAAGGGAATTGCAGAAGGATGAAGATCGATTTTAATTATGGCGGTGGTTAGAGGGTTGTTTTCCTCGATTTTTTCGTAAAAAATGAGGTATTGACCTTATTTTCATCATAACTTACTCAATTTTTGAGCTAGAGTCTTTTTTTATGATAGGTCTATTTATGCTCTTTAAAAAAGGTTTTGTGAGTTTTCTTTCAAAAATGCATCATTTTCCCGATATTTGACTTTGAATCTTTCAAATTTGGCATTTGAAGAAAACCGCTGAACATTGATAGGCCGTATTTCGGTTCCTATTATATCGCAAAAACATTTTAAAAAATGAATTTTATTTGTCTTTTTAAAAGCTACAAATTTGTTCTCTACAATTTTTTTGATAAAATGCACCATTTTCTAGTTATTCGCGAAAAATCGATTAAAAACGTGGATTTTTTCGTCTAAAAGTTGTTACTTTCAATCGCGAATAACTTGAAAAATATCATTTTATAAAAAAAATGTATACCACATTTTTTGTTTAGAATCACTTTTTTAATCGAAACCTGTAGTTAAAACGTAAAAAAATTTTCACCCCGGTGATGGGGTGGCAACCCCCCCTAGGCTTTGGCGCACTTTGGTTCGATATAGATTTTGATCCTTAGGCTATTACCTACCTTCTGTTAAATTTCAAGTCAATCCACGCAGCACGAAAAAATTGCGAGGTGAAATGCTTCATTTCCTGGACTATAACCGGTTTGACAGCATAATAAAATCGTGGATTTATGTGTAGCTTTCAATTTTTATGAGTTCAGAATCCAGCAGCCCGCTGAAGTATGGGATTTTTATAATATAATTATTTGACAATCTTTTGTTGGCCAACCACCTACAGCAGAATTGAGCCGAAATACATTATATTCCTATGTTCCGAATTTATTTCGTTCAATCTGTATAAAGAACATTAAATCTTACAGAAATGATGACCGTAAGATTTATTACCTGGATGAGACGTGAGTTAATACTAGACAAACGAAATCTAAATATGGAATTAATCTATATATGTGTTAAATATGGAGATTATGTCATCTTCTAGAGTAAACCTGTGATCTTAGTGAACTTAGGAGAAATAGAGAAATAAACGATTTACAATTACATTAGTTTAGAGTTATTTGGAATATCTACAACATTTAAGAAATCAGTTAAGACTTTGAGTATACTTAATAAGTTAAGTTCCTAACATGCTTTATACAGATCGATGTTACTCTATTGAAAAAATGGTAAAATAAATACACTAACACATAACATACTAAGCTTTCCAAAAGGAATATATCTAAAATGACTCATTAACAATACAAAAGTACCAAGTAAACAATAGATGTTAGGTGATAGTTTATCTTACTACTCACCTTTAATTGTGTAATTATTCTTTGTACTTCCCACAGCTTTTCCTCTCTTTCTTTGGATATACAGCCAACATTCATCTCTTTATGTATTTGAGATAACAGAGATTCTTGCTTTTTTAGTTCTATTTCTAACTGCTGAGCTCTTTCAGGTATCTGCACAATATTACTAACAGGAGGAATATATTTAAAAATAACAACATTTGGAAACAACGCTTGAGAATGATGAAGTAAGGCTTGAAGCAATCTCGATGATACATGAAAGGTATGATTGAGTGCAGATGCAATATTTTGCTTACTCATTTTGTTTTGTTTTTCCTAAAACCAAATAGATATTATAATTAACTTCTTGTATTATATTCATGATTGGGAAGCAGGTGATAAAACAAAGAAAATTTTTTAAAAAGGAACATAATACATTCAAATATATAGATGGCTTAGAAAGTGAGTATATTGCGTGATTTGAATCGGCCTCTACAGGATTCTCCCGCCTTTAGTTCTAAGATCATCCAGACTGCCTTTTTTGGACTATAAAGACAGTTGAGCTATCTACTGCAGCACCCCAGAAGATTACTCTATCACATAACAGAATAAAAGTTTGCATAATATACTGATAGTAAAATCCCCTGGTCTAGATAGCTCTTTAACACTCTTAATGAGTAGCAGGCTTTATTCAGTTTTTTTGTTGTATTTTGTATTTGTTCCCCCCAATTTAGATTCTGGTCAATATGAATACCAAGAAATTTAACTGATCTAGCAGGTTCCGGGTTTTGTGATAGAGAATTAATTGTATCTGGAAACTGTTCTTGTGACTGACTGGTTCTAAAGTAGACAAAAACTGTCTTATCAGTATTAAGCAACAACCGATTTCCACTGAACCACTGTTCAGCCTTGCTTAGAATTTGCCCTGCCACTGTGAGGAGTGTTTCTAAAGTTTTTCTCAGAAAAGCACATTTGAGTCATCAGTGAAATTTACAAGGTTTGAGGAACTACTAACCACGGCATTTGGAAACTCGTTTATGTAAACCAAAAAGAGAAAAGGCCCCAGGACACTCCCCTGTGGTATAGCTAATTTTAAATTGATCGGTTCAGAGTAAACCGTACATCCCCTTTTCTCGAGGTATACCTTTTGCAACCTATCTGTGAGAAATGATTTTATCTATTTTAATGCTGGTCCCTGTATTCCATAAAGATGTAAAAAGAACATGACCTAGGCTATCGAAAGCCTTAGATAGGTCCAAAAAAGCACCCAATGTTTTCATCTTTGCCTCCAGTTTTTCTAAAATTTTTGATATAAAATCATAGGTAGCTGTCTCAACAGATCTCCCCAGGTAGCGAGAAAACCATGCTGTGAACTACTAAATAAGTTGTTTGTAGTAAAAGTTTTATAGTCTGAAATATATTACTCTTTCAAATACTTTTGAGAAGGATGGAAGAAGGCTTATTGGTCTATAGTTCTCCATCTTAGTAACATCACCTTTTTTATGTAGTGGCTTGACAATTGCCAGTTTTAAATTTTAAGGAAATTTACCTTGACTTTTTTTAACCATTTTCTGTGACACTTATATGGCTATTAAAAAATAGGGTTTGGTGATAAAAGGATGAAAATTGGAAGTTATTTATTTTTTAATGCCACATCATAAAAAAATATAAAATTTTGTTCAATAAAAAAAAATGTTTGGGATGGACCCCCCTTATCACTTAGGGGTATAAAAATAGGTTGCAACCTATTCTTGGACCTACTGAATACAAATATAAACTTTCATAAAAATTGGTACAGACGTTTCAGAGGAGTATGGCGACTAATACATTGATATAAGAATTTTATATATAGATATATACCTACATTTAAGGAAACATTGTGTAAATGAACTATCAACCATGACAATAACAGCTTGTTCTGTGGAGGCAAATTCTCTACTAATATTTTCAAATGTTTTTCCCTAGTATTTAAATTCAATATGGCACCAGCTTCCTCAAAGCGTATTAGTAGATCATTTGTGAATATGGGTTCTGGAAGATCCCTGCAATTAAAAATGTATGTATCACTAATAATAATACTTCTAAGTTAAAAGAATTTTAAAACAATAAATAGGTGAAGTATGAAAACAGTAATTTATAAAAACGATGAAACATCTCAAGATATCCTTCATAGTTAAATATTCATAATTTTGCATGCTCTTATTCCTCTAAAGTTTCATACCTTAAAAACATTTTTAATAGACTAGTAGCAGTTGGCACATCATAATCACTTAATCTAACATTTTCTCTTTGATTGTACATTTTCTTAATTTGTGTAACTTTTGCTTTCGTTCCACTAATCTTATAAACACCTTCAAAAAGTACTCCGATTGATTCTACAAAATCAATACAGTCTCTAATTGGTAATGGCAAATCTACTCCATCATGGCACCTACTTCTTTCAATGGCAATGTCTAAACTCACTCCAAATATTGGCAAAGCATCTAAAATGTAGATATAAATGTATTAGTTGATTTAGTATGATATACTAGTTTTTTTAGAAAGACATGCAACTTTTCCTCGTTAATTAGAGGCCACTAATTGCATATTTTGGTATATTATTTTACTATAATTGCAAACCAGTATGTTTCGATTAAGTTAAGTCTTCTCACAAGTGTTCCCGATGAAATAAACCATGACACATGTGTAAAAGAATGATGACGGACTCAAATTAAATTAAAATGCAACCATCTATATTTATTATTAACAAGCCATTTACTTACCAGCTATGACAATTGTTTCTTCAACAGAACTTTTTGTTTTCTTCCCTTTGTCCTTTTCACATTTTTTATCTGCTTTCTTGTCCTTGTCTTTTTTATCAGAACCCTCTTTATCTCTTGATTTTTCCCTTTTCTCTTTTGACTTCGAAGTAAATTTAAATGACTTAGTCTTTTTTGATTTTGATGGACTCCTGCAAAAAGTAAATTATTATCAATAGTAAGCAAACATAGTCGACCCTGACATAATTAAACAATTTATCACAACATTTACTTTGGTTTAAAGGAAACAATAAACATCACATACGCAAGTTACACCAAAGATTGTGTGAAATTCTTAAGATTTTAAAAGTAAAGTAACAAACTTACCGGGACTTGCTTCCTTCATCTGAACTCTCACCTAGAGCTGCATAACCTCTTTCCTTATCTTTTTTGTCCTTTTTATCTTTACGTTTACCTATCAAAATATCTTTCTTCGCTCCTTTCTCGACATCATCACTATCTACAAGATATTGTATAAATAATAAGTAAAGGGTACTTCACAAAATCAACTTACAGTCACTCTCATTGCTGCATTTTTTATTGTGCTCAGACGCATATAACCCTGGAAAATCTTTCATAACGTCGGGACTATCAAAGTCCATTTTAATCTTTATTTTAAAGTCTCCTTAAAAATAAATTTTGAGTATTTCTACATTTCTGGAAAGCTCTTAGAATAAATAAAGTAAAAACTTGCGCATATCGATGATCAAAATGGAGTGTCAATACAGTGTTGCTCAATGTTACAATATTTACTTTATTTAAAGACAATTTTGAAAATCCCCAGATCTAAAAATTAATAAAGGAAGCTTTCTATTGTTTAAGTTGGTCACTAATTGCCATAAAATATCTTAATATCTTGATTTAATATTATAAAAAGTACCAGCTGTTTGTTTTATTTTGTATTTGTTGATACTATAAAATATTATAATAAAATATTTGACTAGCAAAGTTTGGCACTTGCGCCTCTCACCAACTGTGGATTCGGAAACGCTGTTGCCAAGAGTTATTTAAATACATACTTTTATCTTGTGAATTAATTTTTGTTGGGTATGTTTAATTTGTTAAATATATTTATTTTGCTTCGTGGTAAGTTACAGACATATTTTATTAAATGAATGATTAATAATGTCATTTGAATATTAAATTTCTTTGTTTTGGGTTATTTGTAATTTTACAGTCAAATATAACAATAAAAATTGTGGAATTCTGACAACATCATCTGAACTGTATTTGAATGTTAGATTTTCTATATTATGCTCTTTTAGCTTTATCTAGTACGTCAAAACTGAGATAGTTTCTCTTTTTAATTATTTGTCTAAGCACAAATTTTGACAGAAACGGGTAGGTATACCGGAAGGCGGCTTTTTTAAGGTTGTTTAAAAAATTTCATTTTTTTGTTGCTCTCTTAAACTTATTAAAGTTAGAAGGTCTCCTTGGTTATCGTATCTATTAAGTGTATTGAATAATCGTAATGATGACACCTGCTGCATTATTGAACCCAAAACCGTTTCTCAGTGAACTTATAGGAAAATCCATCACAGTAAAGCTAAAATGGGGCTCTGAATATAAAGGTTACCTTGTGGCCTATGATGGATATATGAATATACAGTTGTCCAAATGCGAAGAATATGTTAATAAACGTTGTACAGGTAAATTTGTATAAGAAGTGGTTTCAACTATGGATATGTACCTACAAGATAAAATTTCCAAAGATAATTTATTTTTTTAATGTAAATAAATGGAGTATACCATATTTTTATATCCCACAGCGTCTTTAGAGGATATCTCTTTTGTTATATTTGTTTATTAACGTACATGTTCTGTTCCTACCAATCGCGATTGTACTATATGATTTTTTTTCCAAATTATAGGTACTTATAATTTATTCTGATATTGCTGTCTAAAGATATTTACTTTTTTTTCGTTCTTCCCTTTAAAACTGTGAATTTTTTATCTAATTCATACTTTTTTCAATTGTCCGGTCAGTTTTGTAGCATTGTGACTATGCTTATAACACAAGTTAATTTTGTTTCTAGGTGAATTGGGCGAAGTACTAATAAGATGTAACAACGTTTTGTTTGTGGGATATACTGAGGATGAAGATAACGAAGAAAAAGATGATCACTAGTTTATATTATTGAGAAAGTGATTAACTTACTATATTAAAATGACAAGTTTATTTTTATACTGTTTATAAAATAAATAGATATTTGTTTTGTTTAAGTTAAATCTTTTTATTTAGTTCATATATTGCAAATGTGAAAAAGAACCAGGAATTGATTGAAGAAATATGGAAACAAAAGCAATAAGGACACTTTTAGAGAGGCAAAATCAAAACCTTAAGATGAAAGAATAAGTTTGTTGAGTTGTCTTGTTCAGACCATCGACACATCTGCTTTGAAATAACAGGCAATGAGTCATCATCATCATTCATCATCAATGGCGCTACAGCTCTTCGTGAGTCTTTGTCGCGTTTACTATTGCCTTCCATGTTTGTCGGTCCTGTGCCAGTAATTCCCATTGTCGCACTCCCATTTTCTCTATAAGGCGATTGTCGTGACTGCGTATCACATGTCCTGCCCATCTGAGTCTATTGGCCTTACATATATCTGACTAGATTTTCTTTTCCGAATCGAGACTTGAGCTCGTTATTGTATCTGCCCCTCCATTCGTTTGTCACGCTGTCTCTGCAAGGACCATATATCATTCGAAGAATTTTATGTTCGCACACCAGCAATTTATTTACTTCTCTTTTTACTTAACCATCACAAATTAGAAATACTAATAATGTAAAACAACTTCAAATTTATAACATTTAAAGGGTTTTTACCCATATATTTTGGTGGCTACTAGCATGTACAACCGTTTGCACTGATGATGGATTGTTTAATCCGAAAACGTTTTGCAATGTGTTTGTGATAGCCCGTTTGAGGCATTTTTATATACCTTTTATAAAGGATTTTAAACAAAATTTTTTTGTGATATATGGTATACAGCCAGCTACAGGAACTTAGTTTCCTCGTGGAACTTCTCTTTTTGTTATCGTCCATGTTTCGCTTCCATACGCGACTGCTGGTCGTATTATGGTCTTATATATCCGGATCTTTGCACCCGTGAAAGAAGTTTCGACTTCATCAGATTTTGCATTGCAAAGAAAGATCTGCTTCCTGCCATTATTCTCGTTTCAACTTCTCGCCATATTCTCTTATTGTAAATATTTGATCAATAGTCGATCTGCCAGGCCTGAAACCACACTGGTAGTCACCAACTATTTCTTCGGCGTATGGTACTAATCTTTTTAATATCTAAGCCAATACTTTATATTTAGTGTTGATTAGTGAGATTCCTCTGTAATTCATGCATAATTCCAACAGGCAATGAGTCTATCAAGGAAACTTATCGTAATCCTCGTAAAACAAACAGGGAAGCATATCAATCAGACCTGGAATATTGTTTAGGCAGAGTTAAAAGGAAGATAAGGCATACATTGGACCTAGACATGGCCGCCGAACAATTACAACAGTTTGGCATGTCAGTGGTCCGGAGATAGTGATGAATTCAAACATAAAAGCACCTGGTGGAATGACAACCTAGCAAATCAAAGGACGGTAGTCAAACGAAAATTAAATTTCGCCAAAAGATCAGGTGAGTGGCGTGATTATTGCAAAGCTCTGACTGACTATCTATTCACAAAATCTGGACAATTAATTTCAGAGCGAAGAAGTCGTCTGCTGGAAAAGAATGTACAAAATATTTTATTTTTACATTGTATATTTGACATAGTTACCAGGTTTACGTTAAGCCTATCTTACATTAATGTCAAACACCTTCCCCTTAAAGATTAAGGCGTACCCTAGGTTTAATTGTACGTCCGAATTTTGAAACATTACATTTCTTACTATCATTATTTTTTGAGCAGCTATAATGAGGACTTACAATATCAGTATTCCTATGTTCATTAAACAAATTTGTTAAATCATTATCCTGAATACATACATTATTTAAATCATTATTATCATTATCCTTATAACTATTTGGGTTTGTGTGTGGATACAACTCAGGTTCCAGATACATGTCTGCTACATCTAATTTTGTATGTGATGGTCTTATGTGTCTTGTGTTTCTTCTAACTATCCAATTATTGCATTCCTTTCTTATCCATTACGATCTGGGTTCTTTAGCTTTTTCTACAATAACAGCTTTATAACATACTTTATCAACACTACTCTTAACAACTACATTATCCCCCCTTTTATAAGTTGTTGGTGTACGTTTACTATGTTTATCATACTGAACTTTTGTTTTTTGTTGTTGGTCCGATAACAGTTTATAAATCTCATTCTGAATTTTAGGTTGTAATTGTTCACTATTTACTGGTATTTCTGTTCTCAAAGATCTACTATTTAATATTTGTGATGGAGATGCACTTAATGAAATAATAGCAGTATTATTATATTCTAAAACTAACTCACGATAATCAGAGTTTTCTGTAAAACTTTTTTTTAAATTTGTTTACAAATTCCTACAGCCTTTTCAGCAAGGCCATTACTTTGGTGGTACCTAATGAGGTGAACATGTCAGGACTGTAATTTGTTTATTATCGTAATATTTTTTACACTTAAATGATATAAATGGTAAATTATCTGCAATTAAAAATTGAGGATAGCCAAATCTGGAAAAAAACATCTTGCATTGCATCTATTATGGCTTCAGATGTTTTATTATTTAATGATAGCATCTCTATCCAATGGGAAAAATAATTTATTAGAATTAAGTAAGATTTACCACCAAATTCCAAAATATCAGCCGCAATTTTATTAAACCTCAATTTTGGTATTAACTGTGCTAACATTGGCTCTCTATAATTATTTGGCATGAATTTTTCACAAATTCTACATTTTTTTATAAACTGGACAATATCATCCCTAAGGTTTGGCCAAAAAAATAAAGATCTTGCTTTATTAATAGTTTTACTAGTTCCTATATGACCTTTATGTAACAGAGTAATCATTTCCTGTTTTAGAGATTTTGGTACAATTATTTTATTTTCAACAAAAACAATTCCTGCTTCAACATATATATCATTTTTAATACTGTAATATGGCTTTATATACTCTGGAATCTTGTTTTCTTTAGGCCAGCCTTTATAATAAAAATCAACAATTGTAGCCAAAACTTTATCTTTAGAGGTTTCTTCTCTGAACTGATATATTTTTTATCTGTCATTGGTAAGTATAGTGAGACTGAATGAACCATATCAAACATCTCTACTAGCTCTAGAAAGCATATTTGCAAATTGAATATGCTTTCCTGGAACATAATAAATTTTTAATATGTACTTTAATAATTTTAGCCTTAAACGCTGCAACCTTACTGACCCAATTTTGCATATTGGTTTCTGCATAATTGAAATTATTGGTTTATGATCTGTTTGAACATCAACATCACACTGGTAAATAAAGTAATGAAATTTTTGTGTACCATAAAAAATGGCTAATAACTCTTTCTCTGTCTGGCTGTAATTTATTTCATGTTCATTCATAGACCAAGATGAACATGCAACTAATTTCAACATACCATCATAGTTTTGAAACATACAACACCCAATTCCATTTTTGGATGCATCACATTGCAAAACTATCTTTTTATTTGGATCAAATGGTACCAGAGCTGGAGAATTTGAAATTATTTTCTTTAACTTATCAAAACATTCCTGGTGTTTAGGCAACCATTGCCATTCTACATTGTTTTTTAAAAGTTCACATAAAATTTGCATGTGTTCAGCCATATTTTTAACATAACGTCTAATATAGTTAAAGGAACCTATTATTCTTTGTAACTCTAATTTACTTTTTGGAGTTTCTAATTTACATAAAGCATCTGTCCTCTCAGGATCTACTTTAATTATGACCTCTGAGCACTTGTGTCAAATGTGTTTTTTTTTTAATTAATATTTTGATTCGGTATGTTTATGGTATTGTTCGTAATGCGGATAACTCCAGTTTTTCAATACATATTTTTGTGCGTCTTATAGAGTCTTTAAAATTATACCGGAACTACTGTACTCGCTAAAACGACACTCAGTCCTAACTGCAAGAGTCTCGCAGGCTTAGTCTTGTTCTTGCTTAAATCTTGCAAGGTCAGTCTTGGTCTTGCTAAAATTAGGCGGTCTTGGTCTTGCAAAAACAAGACCAAGACCGATTTTTGGCAACACTAATTACAGAGAGAATTAGCGTGAACTATCCGACTTAAACTATTACTACAATGCTGAACAGGCCTACCTTAATGGAACTGAGGAACAGCAACAAGTGAGGAGAATGAAAATGAGGATATTGTTTGTGAAAGAGTAGTAGAAAATGAACGATTTGTTTAAATTTTTTTGTTTTAATATAGTTTTGTATGCCTTAATTTTGTAATTTAAATATAAATATTAGTCTCAGTAACTGACTTTTTCATTTAGACAACCTGTATATGAGCAAAAAAATAATTCGTTACGAAAGCCGGTAAATTCACCTGTAGTTATATCCAAAATCCGCTAACTCCACTGGTTAGTTTCAAAACCGGCTATATCCATTTTTTTAATAATATATAAATCAATGTTTATCTTTTTTTTTTTAATAATCAAATTACGTAAATCAGGGTTATAAACGAATTAGAATTACATTCCTAATGAAATAGTTACATCAATCATTTAGACAGCTACTCGGAAATAATAGATACACTTTTTTGCTTTTATTGAAAATATGTTGCGTGTGGAGTTAGCGCACATTGGAATTATACGACTCAATTTACCTTTAACCAATTTTTCATCCAGTGCAACAACTATAGGTATCTAATTTTTTTCAAAAAATCGACATTTCTAAAATTTTATATTCCCACTTCAGAACTACATATTTTTGTGAACCTATAGTAAAACATTGATAATTATAATATACAATGCCGATCAGAAAAGAAGCGCTAATTTTAAAACTGGTTTTCTAAAGAATGTCATTTTTCCATTTACCTAATTGTAGTATTAAGGTGACATTATTATCTCATCATCTCAGTTGAGCCCTCAATGGTCTGTCTTTTTATATCGTCTATAGATCTACACTCTTCATCGTAATAATACTTTTATAGTGAATTAGTAATCTTTATTGATAACACTTACAAATTTTATGGTTATTCTAGCTTTTGTTAGGAGGAACAAACACGTCTTACAGCTGCTGATGATAAAATGTAAT